ACTCTAAACTCTAAACTCTAAAACTCATATGGTAGTCTCTGAGCTACCATACGAGGACAAAAGAATACATATATATGTCATTTTTTGCTTATGTTAAGTTTATTGTGGTACACAGTAAAAATAACTGTGCGTAGCATCCCATGGTGCTGAGAAAAATTGTTGAGAATACCTTGGACTTCAATTCCATATGAAATGAAATGAAACCATGTTTCCCATTAGAAGTAACTAATATAATTTGCTTGCTTGCTGTGGCCTAGAGGTGGAGCTCTCACAACTTCACAATCAGGAGGTTGTGAGTTCGATCCTAGGTAGAGGCAGATGTAAGGTCTCCTGCTTGGGCAGGGGGTTGGATTAGATGACCTGCAAGGTCCCTTCCAACTCTGTTCATCTATTAAATCTTGCTTGCTAACTTCAAAACTCACCAGGCCTGCAACAGCCATCTTTCCATTTCTCAGCTGCCACATAGTATGGGTGGTTGAGTGGGGGAGATCTGGAACATCAGACCAAACAATAACAATGTGCCTTGATATTGACTAGTTAAGGTGTCTTAGCAACCACATAGGTAGTTTTTTTTACTATAATGATCTGTCCCTAGCTTGTTCTTTCAGATCTTCCAACATTTCACCCATCGCCAGTGTAATTTCAGTCCATTTATCCTGTTGCTGGTCAATGAAGCAAATACCTAAACATTCTGGACGCATAATGGTGGAGAAGAGTAATGGAGGAAGACCTCAAAGTTTGGTGGGGAGGGAGGGGATCAAAGAATTAAAAAAGAAGAAGCCGATTGAAGCCAACAGTTTGATCCTTAGAAGAATTCAAAGAAGCAATTTCTGACAAGCAATCCCAATGAAACGATGCCTATTGTGTTATGAAGAACCAGAAGCAACTACTCAACTGCACAAACCACAAATACAGAACCTTGGTGTGCAGTTTGACAATTACTGCTGTCATCACCAGTAATCAGGGGTGGGATTCAGTCGGTTCGGATGAACCAGATGTTAATTTTAATCTGATTTGCTGAACCGGTAGTTACAAGGACCGGCTGACCCCACCTACCCTGACCCTCCCCTCCCAGGAGTCTCCACACAGCCCGTTCAACATGCCAGGTAACTGCAGGGCCCACATGGAAGTTCTGGGAGGGCAAAAAACAGGTATACCGGAAGTACTGGAAGTACTGGAAGTCTGGAAACAGGCCCATTTCCACCCTCTGGAGGGCCTCCGGAGCCTGGAGGAGGCCATTTTCACCCTCATGGAGGCTCAGAGAAGGCCTCCAGAGACTGGGGAGGGCAAAAAACGGGCCTATCGAAAGTATCAGAAGTCCAGAAATGAGTCCGTTTCTAGTCTCCAGAGCCCGGGGGAGACTATTTTCGCCTTCCCTGACGCTGGAGGAAAGCCTCCAAAGCCTGGGGAGGGCAAAAATCCCCCCCCCTGCCATGGTGCAGAAAGCCGACTAGACCAGGGGTCAGCAAACTGCGGCTCTGGAGCTGCATGTGGCTCTTTCCTCCCTTTGCTGCGGCTCCATCACCGGTCAGCGCCACAATTTTGAGAGGAGCTTCCGGTGGGGGGGTGGGGGGAAGAGAAGCACAGTGTGCCAGGAGAAGACTCTATGGCAAGGGGAGGGTTTTCCAGTTGTCTGCACAATTGATAGGGCTTTCGGTTATGACACGTAGAGGAAAAAGTACGCCGCCGTGCTAGGAGGAGACTCTATGGTGCGGGAACTGAACTTCCNTAAAATGGGAAATAATAAGAGTGTACAATCTTTTAAATCAAAATGCAAGGGATGTACAGAAACTCTTCGACTTACGAACACATTTGAGGCCAAAATTTCCATTGCTAAGCAAGGCAGTTGTTAAGTGAGTTTTGCCCCATTTTATGACCTTTCTTGCCCACAGTTGTTAAGTGAACCGCTGCAGTTGTTAAATCAAATCAAACCTTTGTACATGTGTACAATGAAATTGGATGAGCCTCCCTTGGTGCAGCCCTCCCCCCCCCAAAAAAACCCCACACAGAATACATAATAAAGAAAAAGAAATCCCTAAACCCAAATAAGTAATAACTAGCACACTGACTTCTGACTAACTAAGTTAGTAACATGGTGAAGTGCGTCTGGCTTCCCCATTGATTTGTCAGAAAGTCGCCAAAAGTGATCACATGACCTTGGGACATTGCAGTCATTATAAATATGAGCCAATTGCCAAGAATTTTGATTGTGTGGCCGTAGGGATGATTCAAGGGTTGTTAAGTATGAAAAATAATCATAAGTCACTTTTTTTCAGTGCCATTGTACCTTTGAAAGGTCACTAATTGAATGGCTGTAAGTTGAGTACTACCTGTATTTTATAAAAGAGAAGAATGTCCTGGATAATATGCTCCACTCCAGCCCATTCTGACTTTACATGCAGTTGCTAATGGTTCTCTGACAGAGGTGGAAAAAGCAATAGGAAAATTAAAAGATAGTGCTTGCTGAAGTATTAGTACCACTTTAAAAAAGCCTTATTAAGACCACGCCTGGAATACTGCATCCAATTTTGGTCACCACAATACAAAAAAGAGGTTGAGACTTTTGGAAAAAGTGCAGAGAAGAGCAACTAAGATGATTAAAGGCCTGGAGACTAAAACATATGAATAACTGTTGCAGGATTTGGGTTTGGCTAGTCTTAAGGGAAAGAAGGATTAGGGGCAAACATGATAGCAGTGTTCCAGTATTTGAGAAGCTGCCACAAAAAGGAGGGGGTCAAATTATTCTCCAAAGCACCACAGGGGACGACAAGAAACAATGGATGGAAAATAATGAAGGAGAGAAGCAGCCTGGAATTAAGGAGATACTTCCTAACAGTGGGGACAATTAACCAGTGGAACAGAAGTTGCCTCCAGAAGTCATGGATGCTTCAACACTGGAGGTTTTTAAGAAAAGTCTAGAGAGTCATTTAACTGCAATGATATATAATCTCCTGCTTGAGCAGGGTGCTAGACTAGAAGATTTCCAAGGTCCCTTCCAGTTCTATTCTGATTCTGACTTACAATCATTTGCATAGTGACTATTTGAAGTTACAACAGCACAAAAACGTGCATTTCACACTTAACGACTGTTGCAACTTCTCCATGGTCGTGTGATGAAAATTCAGAAGCTTGGTAATTGGCATGTATTCGTGACAGTTGCACTGTCCTGGGTCATGTAATCACCTTCCCAGATGACCTCCAACAAGCATAGTATAGCATACCTTTTATTGTCATTGTACATCATGTATACAACGAAATTGGTTGTACAGGCGATAGGGGAAGCCAGATTTGCTTAACGAGAACATGATTCACTTAACAACTCCATTATTTCACTTAACAACTGTGGCAAGAAGGTGACAAAACTGACAACTGTCTTGCTTAGCACCAAAGTTTTAGGCTCAATCGTGGTCATAAATCAAGGACTTCCTGCAGCTAAGGGCACTCAGGCCAGAACAATGCAGCTATTTTAAAAGTGGTTGAATGATTCAGGCTATCTTGACAGTCCGTGATAGCACCTTGTCCCGAATCCTTCTTGACTAAGATATACTCTTTGGGCAAAATAACTTACATATAAAAGCTCATATATAGTATACGAATCCATGTGAGGCACCAGAGTTAGGAGGGTGAAAAGTACATTGAATGTGGACCCCTGGTTTGGATTGAATGAATCTCATGCCCTCCCAGGGAATCTAGCTTTCTTTTCCAGTACATCATCAGTGGCTCTTTCTAGGCTAAGAATAAGGCATCTGGAACCTTCTAGACTATTGCTCCAAAACAAGAATGGTTGCAGGATTTGGGTTGGGCTAGTCTAAAGAAAAGAAGAATTAGGGGTGACGTGATAGTAGTACTCCAGTATTTGAGGGACTGCCATAAAAAAGGGGGGTCAAATTGTTCTCCAAAGCACCAGAGGGCAGGACAAGAAACAATGGTTGGAAACTAATCAAAGAGGGAAGCAACCTGGAATTAAGGTGAAAGTTCCTAACAGTGAGGACAATGAACCAGTTGGACAGCTTGCCTCATGGGCCCTCCATCACTGGATGCTTTTAAGAAGAGCCCCTAGACAGTCACTTATCTCAAATGGTAGGTTCTCCTTCTTGAGCAGGGGGTTGGACTAGAAGACCTCAGCGGTCCCTTGGTTTTCAATAACATCTGGGTGAATTCAAGCTCCTCATTCCTTCCTAGCCAACAGAAGGCACCCTGTTGTCGTAGAAGGGATCATAACGGATCATCTTGGAGATCTAATAAACTGGGTCAAGTCTTAAAAACTACAGACCAACTAAAATTTTAATCAAAGCCATGACAATTGTGGGATTCAGAGAATTGAGGACAAAACATAGGAATTAATAGCTTAATCTTCATATAGGAAAGGAACTTCATGAAGACGTTCCGTTGCTTAGTTTACAGATATTGAAATGACTAAAACCAAAGCGATTTGTACCAAAGGAAAGATATTATGAGGCATGCCTGAATAGTATTTTAATTAATCGTTCTATCTCGGAGGATAGAATGTTTTAGCGTTGAACTCCAAAGCTCTAAATTAGCCACTTCATAGAAAAATTGGATCAAGGTCAAATTGGACAGGAAATGACTTGAGTATCAAATAGGCATTGGAGCAATTTCCTGACATATAAATCAACAGGGGAAAAAATGCCCAGGTATTTCTAGAAGAGCATGTTATTTTTATGTCTAGCTTTTTTTCCCCGAGATTCCGTCTTTCTGCTTTTTTTTTCCTCAGGAACAAAATGGATTCTTGAGCTAAGATTTCAGGATAACGACCAACAACAACAACAACAAAAATATGAACAGAGAACCCATATATCCTCTTTATAACATAAGTAATCAATTTTTAAAAATAAAAATAAACCAAGGCATGTAAACATCAGAACATATCTGGAGGTGTCATCTGTTTTCAATCATTTAGCCATGCACAATCAAAATGCAACCAAAAAGGTAGAGGATTCCAAAGATCAAAGGGACAATTACACCATGCATTTACTTACCCAAGTGATGGACCCCAAAAACTGTTGGAATAACTTGGGGAGCTTCAGTATCTGGGGAGATAAAAGCAGAATAACAGTGTTGTAGTTGAATCAGAATGGCATCTGTTCAGAACTCCCTCTTCTTCTGCTTTGCTGGCACCGTCGTCATGCTGTCCCAAAAATTCCATATCATCTAATTAATTATTACTGTAATAATTACATTAAATGGAAATGAACTTCAGCTAGGAAAAAAAACCATTGCTTTGATGCGGGAAAACACACCACACACACAAACACACACACACACACACACACACACACACACAAGATCCTCACCCAACAAACTTTATGCCGAATGGAGCTATGAGGTTCACCCGAGCAGCAGAATTGACACTTCCTCACCTCCTTATTTTGGCAGGGTTTCCCTGCTCCCATCTTTTTTCNAACAACAACAACAACAACAACAACCATCACTACCACACTTGGAATTCTGCTTGCACTTAGACAGGGATTTCTCAAGTTGCAAAAAATAATAGGATTGGATCTATCCAGCTATGAGCATTGCAGACTTACCTGCTGGCAAGAATTATTTTATTTGCAACTATCTGTGCAAAGCGTCATCTAAGCAATCATTCTTGCAGCAAGTAGCAGGACCTCGAAGAACAAGTGATTTTGCATATCCAGTATCCATCCTTCTACGCCTTCCTCAAGAATGCCAACACATTGCTAGTTTTCCTACTTCTTTGCCCCTTTCCCATCTTGACCGAGTCTTTCAATATCTGGGGGAAATTCCTTGCCATCATCCTCTATCACAAATGTCTTGTATAAACATGAGCTCTTGCACTTTAAACGTTCTTGGATGACAATTTCCTAACCATCCACCTCCGTGTCCAGGTGGTCACAACCAGGTGGTCCAACGATCTCCGTTTGCCTTTGTAACAGCTCTTTGATATCAGGACAAACAAACAAATCGCATTTGGGCAAGCAGAAATGGGGCTCAGCTAGGATTCAAGTCAGGCTTTGCCATGACTGTTGACCAAAAGAGACAGCTCACCCAGACTGCTGACTCCTTCCAATCTCTCCACTCACAGGGTGGCACTTGAAAGCTTAAAAGTGGCACGCCTTATCCTCTTAATACCTGATCGCACAAAGAGATTTCTTTAATAAGGCAGATAATTGTGTCAGCTTAGGTCAAGTCCTTGCTAATAATGGAGCTTCTATGCAAGCCCAAACCAGTAGAACAAGAATGAACAGTCAGGAATGAGCAAGTATTTATGATGGGTTCCACAGGAGGATGGAGTAAACCAGCACTTTGCCAATCAAAGTGGGCACCTCTTCGTAGTAAGGTCAAGGACCATAGATTGTTCCCAAGAAAAGCACTTTGGAGAATGACAAATGGATGGACGTAATGATGAACACCATGTTGGTGTGTGGAGCCAGTACACACACACACACACACACACACACACAAGTTTTAACCATTCAGTCATGCCGGACCCTTGGCAACTTTATAGGCAAGGGCTCTCCATGCTACACTGTCAAGCACAAATTCTTTCAGTTGTTGGATGGTCATCTTTGTATCAGCTTTGACAGTATCAAGCCAGCATGTTCTTTTCTGGCCCCTTCTTCCGCTAACCATTCCCAGCCCTATTGGCTTCGTCTTTCAAGATAGTTCACAGTTACCAACCTTTATCAGGTTTGGAGAGGGGCTAGGCCAATATCTTTCAGACGCCGCAGTACTTGGCAAGAATGCAGGAATGAACTAATTGTTTCCTGCAAACACCCCCTCCCCTTTCGCTCCTCTTATTTCCTCTGGGAGGGGCCATTCACCATCCGCCTGTGATCTTACTCCCAAGTTGACCCTTGTTCCCTAGCTGTTCCCTTCATCTGGCAACTCTGTGCATGCTCACACTGGGAACAGGCTCCAGCTGTTTGTCTGCCTCACTGATGTCTCCGAAGGCAGCTGATAGCTGTCAGACTTCCCTGGCCCCCTCTCTGCCTCCGACACAGAGCACTCATCAGAGCCTTCCCCAAACTCCAGGACTGGCCCATGTTCCTCCTCAACCTCCTCACTGTCCGACTCTGCCGCTGGCCACTGGTGAGCCACAACAGTTGGATGGATGAAGGGCAAGCTGCTCTAAGAAAAAGTTCTACTGTTTTTTATTTTGCTTTGCTTTGCCAGTCATGGCATCAAAACAAACAACATCAATTCCTCCAAGTGATACATTCCCTGACTTACGTATTCATGTATGTTTATCTCCTTATCTCTTTTCTTGATGAATATCCCTGACTGTACAATAACTGGTGCATTATAACAGCTGATGCCTTCTCAGCTTCCCAGTCCAGGTGAGGAATTTTTTTTTTTTAAATCACTCTGGTCCAATAAGCCTGTGGGGAAAAGAGCTTCCAAGCAACAGAGCATTGAAACTTTATTCTTACCCAGGGACAGAGGTGGTATTCAGCCGGTTTGGACCGGTTCGGCCGAAGCGGTAGGCAAAATCATCCGTGGCCCACCAACCCACCCCGGCTCTATGCTGTCCTATTTAGGTATGTTTTTGAGACCAGGTGCATGCGCAGAAGACGTGTGCATGAGCAAAGTGCATGCATGGAAGGCAGGGCACATGCTCAGAAGGGACATAGCAATAGCAATAGCACTTAGACTTATATACCGCTTCATAGGGCTTTCAGCCCTCTCTAAGCGGTTTACAGAGTCAGCATACCGCCCCCACAGTCTGGGTCCTCATTTCACCCACCTCGGAAGGATGGAAGGCTGAGTCAACCTTGAGCCGGTGAGATTAGAACCGCTGAACTGCAGATAACAGTCAGCTGAAGTGGCCTGCAGTACTGCACCCTAACCACTGCGCCACCTCGGCTCTTTTATGCCATATGCACCCGGCGAACTGGTGGTAATGAAATGTGCAACCCACCGTATTAGATCGGTGCAGGAAGAAGAGACAATAGGCTTGAGAAACTTTCAACACCTTTTATTTCCTTAGCCGCTGCAATACAAACTGCCAGCAGGTTGCCGAAACTCTCCATTTAATGAGCACCGGAAGACTAGCCAACCAATGAAAGCGATTTAAACTTCCCGCGATTTGGCGAACCAATCCACGGGGACATGCAAATCTGTGCTATGTACGTACGTACATAACACACCGCTTCCCAGGGAACCCATTATCGTAAATGATGGATCTTTCTCATTAAGTAATCTACTTCAGCCACTAATGATGTTAGATGCTGGGAGGGAAGATTATAGAAGCTGCCTTCATCCCTTGAACACAAAGTCCATCTAAATTAAGAGCCCAGAGATAATTAATCTCTGCCAAGAAGGTAACGCTCCCAAAATCTCTACACAGTGCATGACAACAAAGGACCCCTTCATTTTAGATACCATGGCTCTGATATTTCAACATTTCCAGGCAGTTAATGAGAAACTAGTTACCGTATTTTTTGGAGTAATAAGACACACTGGAGTATAAGCTGCACCAAGGTTTCGAAGAGGTAAATTAAAAAAACAAAGTGTTTGCACTCTGCAGACCTCCCAAAAATGGCATTTTTTGCGAAAACGAACTTGTTTCCCCGTTCCCAAAAAAGGGCATGAATAGCTTTTAGGAGGCTTGTAGAGTGCTCCTGTGGGGTGCCCCCCCCCAAACGAGCAAAAAATGGCCCGTTTTTCATGAAAATGGGCCCATTTCTAATCAAAAAAAGAGCATGCATAGCCTTTAGGAGGCTTATAGAGTGCTCCTGGCCTGTTTTTCGCTCGTTTCTCCCCTCCCCAGCCCCCAGGAACACTCTGAAAGCCTCCTAAAGGCTCTGCACNCTATCTATCTATCTATCTATCTATCTATCTATCTATCTATCTATCTATCTATCTATCTATCTATCTATCTATCTATCTATCTATCTACACACACATTTAAGGCAGAATGTTCTGAACAGAGAGCAGAGACTCTCACATACTGCATGTGTATCTTCTCCCAGAGCAGCCCGGGTGAAACTGATGCTATCCCAAATGTATTGCTCTAATTCTCATCATTTTCATCCTGCTGGCTGGAAATCGTGGGAGCTGTGCGGTCCAATGCATTTGGAGAGAAACTAGGTTGGAGACCTTTGCTATGGAGGTGAGTGAAGTAAAGAAGTTTTGAATCCAATAAGAAGGGAATGTGAAATGTGTGTCCTCCAGCTGTTGTCAAGCTACACTTTCAAATCTTGACAAGTTTCCATTATGATACAGACTGTTGGGGAGGAAATCACATTTACTTTTCTCCCTGCACCCAATTTATTTTATTTTATTTCTTGCATGTGTCATCCTTTTTTTCTGGGAACTTAAACCATTGTACATTATGGGAGAAGAACACAGAACATAGAATAATAAGGTTGGAAGGGAACTTGGAAGTTTCTAGTAATTCATGCGGGAGAGAAGACCCTATGCCAGTGATCGCTAACCTTTTCCGGACTGAGTGCCCAAAGTGCGGGCACTCGCATGTGAATGCACGCGCATGCGCACGAACTCCCAAAATGCAATTAGTGTGCAGCCCCTGCGCATACGTGGGTGGGGCCCCGCACGCACCCTATGCCCCGCACATGCGCAAAATAGACCTGAAGACCAGCTGGCCAGCGGGAGGCGCATGAGCATGCACAGCGGAGCTGAACTGGGGCAACGGTTTTTGTGCCCACAGAGAGGGCGCTGCGTGCCACCTCTGGTATGCGTGCCATTGATTCGCAATCACGGCCCTATGGCATTCCATACAAATGGCTGTCCAAGTCTCTTTTTGAAAACCTCCAGAAATGGAGCGCCCAAAATGTCTGGAAATAAACCATTCTATTATTAATGTTTTCACAGCCAGGAATTTTTTTTCCGTAGTGTTAGGTTGGATCTCTCTTTAATGATCTTCCACCTATTATTTTTTTATCTTGCCCTCAGGTGCTTTGTAGAATAGATCTGCCCTCTTTTAACTGTAACAACTGAAAGACAGTGATCATATCATCCCTAAGCCTTTTCTTCTTTAGATTAGACATACCTACTTCCTTCAATCCTTCAACATATGGTTGAGAGAACAGGTTTCCTTCATTTTATCTTTTTAAGAGGATTGTGATAAAGACTGCAGTTGAAAAACAGGGTCACCCACCGAGTTTTAGTGTAGTCTTGAACCCTAATTATTACACCATTTGGACTCTGAAGTTCTTAACATCAATATATCCTCTAAAATAATGTTGATTCCATTCTTTCTTTCAAAACTGAGCCACCTCTGAGTCATATCCTTTCCTTTCTTCCTGATGCATCCCATCTTCAGAGCAGAAAGCTTTCCTGGTAGACATCCTGGCTATTTTTGACTTAATATTTGTTGACATTTTGCATTAAACAGGACCTCTATTGCAATCTGTATTTTTAAAAAAATGGCTCTCTGTGTGTGTTTATGTTCCAGCATAACTCTGGAACGCC